AGTTTTCACAATCAAGGGAGAGAGAGAGAAATGGGGTTTAACGTCCATTCGACAAAAACTAGGCCATTTTAGGACTAACATATGGTCCGATTTTATTTCAATAATTTGCTTGCGCGTAGGGGTCTTTAGCAGTGGGAGGAAACCGGAGGACCCGGAGAAAACTCACGAGGTTGGACAGGCGGTCCTACTCCTTCTCACGTCACAATCAAGAAACACAGGAATGGCCTGGAAATTGGGATGAAATTGCACATAGATTGGGTGTGCAAATTTCCATACGTTGTTTATAATAATACAAAGTTTGAACTGTGTATATACTACAACTTGTTCACTTCCATATTACAGTCCAGACAAATTAAACTCGTGCACGAGATTAATCACTGCGCTTATCTTCAATGTAACTAATTATGTTTTTCTTTCAAATAACCTAAACTAAGTATTCTGGGTTCGGTGTCCAATTGAAGTGTGGACAGAATATGTTTCATTATTCATAGTGGACCTTTAATATAGCAAGGGCATCTAATCCGACTTAAAGACATACTCAAACTTTCCACAAAGCTGTCGGAAATCGTGTGTGCTTGTTTAATAACTTCTTTGTGGTCCGAACCAAGTAGGGGTATTAATTCTTGCTACTTCAGGCATTATAGTATTTTCTTGCTAATAATGGTGGTTCTCTGCAATTGTTAATTTGTATTAAGGTCAATCTAATTGATACGAGCATAATTTGTTTTAACACATTAAAGGGACATAACAACAATATTTAGTCATGCAATCAATAGTGAAATAGCCCCAGGTCACCAAATTCTGCAATACACTTTCAAAATACATTTTAGAAGATTCAAAATTGTAAAGCCAAGTCTCACTTTCGAGACACCTCAATGTGTGTATTAGATACACTCGAGCGCAAAAAGCTGATAGGAGTCGCGATTTTAGTTAGTGTACCAAGGCCATCAAGCCCAATATAGTAAAATAAGTCAGCGATTTTGCACATTGTACCAACACAAACATAATTGTATAGCCAGTTTTATCTATAATTATAATGAAAACATTGTTCAAAAATATCTTTTAAAATGTTTATCAATAATATTCTAAATGTTTGTCATGCGTTTTCAGAAATAATGAGTTGTCTGCTTCTTAACCATAATAGACTTGTATATTACTTCTATGTCTGAAAATATCTAGTTATTTGAAATTATGAATTCTTTACCAAGTATATTGGGGTTTTTTGGTATGTGTTAATGTCGAGTTTCACCGCTGATACATGATAGAAATGAAATGAAATGAAATGAAATGGGGTTTAACTCCTACTGTTCTGCTAATGAAGACGGGCTACGCGGGAAATTTTGCCCGGATAGCGGCACTACGGCCTACTCTTATATCGAATTCCAACTGTCAAGGGATCTTTTACGTGCACGCCAAAGTATACACGGGACCTCGGGTTTTCGTCCCATCCGAACGACTAGACAGCTGTCCTTGTCGGGCCCTCCATCCAGCATCACTGACAAGGGGGAACCACGCCGGAAAATCTGGATGAACTTTCTCGGCCAATGCAGGGATCGAACACCTCCAGGCTAGGGAGCCAGCGTCTTACCCACTTAGCCACGTGATCCCCGATACATGATAGAATAAGATTTGTAAAATAAATATCGTTCAAAGACAAATATTTATAAAAGCAACAAGGTACGTTCATGGTCTGGAATTAACCAAGCCGTCATACATTCAAGCGACAGATTCAGAAGGGGAAAATAAATTTGCACATGGAAAATTCTTAACTCCCACAAAACGATTACCAGATTTTTTGTAAAATGATTTTTTGATATTTATATGAAAGACGCATTATGTAAGAGCTAAATCTGCATATTGCAGGTCTTTATTTTGGCTTCAAACGTTATTATAACAAGTACTGTTGTTACCATAATAACCAATCTATGCTACATCTTGTCAAAACTTCAAAAGATGATAACTTCGCTCTGAATAATTTGAATGAAATTTTCAATATATTCATTTTGCATTTTCTATTTTTGAATTATTATAGCAAGAACGACCAGCGCTTACATAATACATCTTTAAATCAAATGACAAACAATAAAGTGCACCTAATCTCAAACCGGCAATCCATAGAACAACATATATTTAGAAAGATATTTATCAAATGAAAGGGGTGACAAACATGGCTACATGGGAATCAGAGGGTTTTTTAAACTTTAGTATCACCAAAATCTGTCTTTTGATCTTTGTCTCCCGCCTTTCGAAAAAAACATGGGACCATTAAAATGGGTTCGCCAGTCTGTCCGTCCGTCACTCTTAAGCCAGAATTTTCAAACTTACAGTAGCTGTTTTTTGGTTGAACACCTTGACTGAGCTGGATGGTTTGAATTGTCGGCTTATTTCATTGGTCGATGCTTAGGGACAGGAAGGCTTTGATTCTAATTAAGTGAGATTGGTGAAACTTGGTGTGTGGTTACATCAATACCTTGACTAAGTTCGATAATGACCATTTCCTGTTCAGGTTAATACGACTGATAAGCAATTAGTGCACGATAACTTTTATTGTAATTGAATGAGCGTTGTGTAGTTTCAAAACATCAGTATCAATTCGATAATGCTAAGTAAAGACTTCCATTTGTTTGGTCGAGATGTTGGAATGTTCAAACTTGGCGTAGGTGTTAACTGGAATGGGTGATGGGTATTTTCCACTGAGGCTAAGCAGAGATAAACGATTTGATTGGTTGATGCCTGGTAACACGAAAAAATTGATTGTAACTGGGCGAGTGTGATGAAACTTGAGGTATAGTTTCCTGACATCAATATCTTGATCAATGATTAACCTTTTTGGCTAAGGCAAAGTAGAGATAAACATTTCATTGGTCGATGCTTTGGGACACGACAGCTTTGAATATACAGGTCACAATTCTATGGAATACAATTATTGCTTATTACTGAGCGACGTTCGACTAAACTTCTCTAGTTATTATAAAACAATGATGTTGACCAGAGAAGCCTAGTCGAAACGTCGTTCAGTAATAAGCAGTAATTGTATTCCATAGAATTGTGACCTGTATATTCCAGTTCAATCACTGGAACAATTCGACAGCTTTGAAACCAATACAGTGAGAGTGATGAAACTTGGTGTATAGTTTTACTACATCAAAACCTTGACTAAGCTCGATTCTCTGCTGTTTATAAATAAGATTGATCGAGGCTTTACAAATAGATAAATGTGCAATTAATTAATACATGCCATCTATTTTGGGATTGATGCGGGGGACACCAGCCTCACCGATTGCCTGTCTTGTCCTAAGTTTCAAATGCTGAACTGTTTGGCTTGGTTTAAATTCCAGACTATTGATCAACCTATGCGTCAGGCCAGTTACGGGGACTGGCTGAAAGGTTCTACGCCTATCTGTGAAAAAAAAGGACAAAGTCGATGGTTTCCATTTATTTTTCTACATAGTCCCCTTCGAGTTGTACACACTTTTGCCAACGATGTTGCTAGGCCTGGATGCAGGTCAGGAAGAAATTTTCTTCAGCCACCTAAACAAAGCCGTTCAGAGTTGACAAGACGTCATCATTACTAGTGTGCTGTAAAGGGAATTTACCCGAACTCCAACTGTTAAGGTTATTTAACATGTCCTCCAATGTGTTAACGGGACCTTGGTTTTGCGTACCATCCACACGACTAGACACTGTCCTTGCCCCAGGCCCCCTGTCCTGTACCAATGACAATAAAAGGGGAAACCGCGATGGAAACTCCCGAGAGAGAGAGAGAGAGAGAGAGAGAGGGAAACTCCCGAAAGAGAGAAAGAGAGAGAGAGAGAGAGCAGGGGTTTAACGTTCACTCGACACTAACCAGGAAATTTCGGGACTAACATATGGTTCAGTTATATCTCAATAATTCGCTTCCGCGGAGGATCCGGAGAACAGGCGACATCACCCCTTGTCACGTGCAAGCGGGGAATCAAAACGTCACCAACTGACTCAATGACAGCCCTTCTGATCCAACGCGGACACTTTAACCCATTCGCCCCCCCCCCCCGGAAAATCCCGAAGGAACATGACCAGCAAATCTTACGTGTGTACAAAGATAACTTATCAAGCTTCGCTTATTTTGTTAATTGCCAGAGGAATTATAGCAATAATAATAATATTTAAAATATACAGATATAACAGAAATATGTTTAATATCTCTGGAACAAAATTGCAAATCACAAAACACACATCTGTCTCGAAATTTAATATTACAGTATCAACGCAATGGGGAAATGGATTAGAAGTGTGGTTTAAATCCCTGCACCAATCGGGATAAAGGAGACGGGCAAGTTAGTGGAACTAAGCTAAATGGAACTAATAATTTCTAACAAGCATTCTACATTTTGCAATAATATAAAGAACATTCAAATAAATTATTCTAGTCATAAAAGAAATCCGATCAACATAGTTGTTTCTTCTCAAAAACTCTTACTAAATTTGTTAAAATACTAATTATGAAATATTTGCAGAGGTAATAATATATAAGAATAAATAATATTAATGCGCGAATTGTCTTCAGTAATAGGTCACCGCATGTAATGCTTCATAACATCATTGATAAAAGGAAGCCTTTAAAAACTCAATTATAATTTGTTATACCCATTTCAGTTGTTTGTACTTGAAATACTACGACAGTCTTATCGATAAATCGTATATTTGTTGTGATTATAATAGTCGAAATTGTTTAGTCTTACATGTCTATTCATAATACAGATATCTGGTGAGAACATTTTCGTAACAAATAACCTTGGCGGTAAGCATATATTTCAATATTTGAAAATCTTTCTGCAATTACATTAGTTTACCACATTTCTAAGTGACAAAAAAAAAACATCCGACAAGATATACAATGCCATCTGTTATTTAACGATCTTGCATAAATTATGTCTTATTATTTCTGGAAAACGATACAAGGAATAAAACAGGGGTAATATTGATTTTTAGGAAACAAAAATTTCTGCAAAATGGCTTACCTGAATAAGAACTATTCCTTTTAGAGCAAACATTCATATATAACATGTTTATCTTATAACATCAGTTATAGCGCAAAAAAAAAGAAGTAATAGCCAAGACGATTTGGGCTCTATTACTCGAACGTTCAACACTGCAGACTGCTCGTCGCGCGCCCGGTTCTTACGGCGCCCCCTACATTATACCACTGACGTCTATTGATCGTTTCTCTTCAATGCAAAACAACGAAGACTGGACCGTATTATTGCCAGCTACACAACAACATAATTAGTCTTCCAATAACACCTACTCCGATAATTAATAGACAATTTCAATGTAAAGAAATATGATATCTCCACATCTTTCCAGGATCAATATAATTCTAATGGTGTAGTGTAGATGTAAGACGTTCTGCTTTGTCAAAATCAATTACTGGAAAGGCAAAATGGACTGTTACCACGCTTAGTTGGTAGCCTCAATGCCATCTGTAGGGTGATATTGGATATCTGATTATGGAGATCGCGGTCGAGTAAAAACTATTCCAACTCCGAATAAATTATCATGAATTATGCGAGTGTTCTAAACAATTATATTTTCGACATACTCAAATCAATAACTGTAAGGACTTTTCTGTGATCAGAAAACAAAATGACCATGCGGAGTGCCTTCGGAGTGAACCAGGTTGATTGGGTGGCCGAATGGTTTAAGGTGCGCGCTTTAGATCATAAGGTATATTCCTGAGTCAAATGGCGTGAGTTCAATTCCCCGCGGATATATGACAAGGGGTAGGGGTTTCTCCGGGTCCTCCCACTGCTAAAGACCCCCTACACGCAAGCGAATTATTGAAATAAAATGGAATGGAACCATATCCTAGTCCCGAAATGACCTAGTTTGTGTAGAGTGGTAATTAAATTTCTCGGCCGCAGTTTCAAAAGTTAGTTTTCGAAATTTCGTCGCTGTCTATTTTGACCCAATTGATTACTAAAATTATTAGGCTTTCAGACTTTTGCTTTCGTAAGTAATTCTTTTCTTGTACAGACATTCTGCCAACGTAGATATGGTTGGCCTCCGTGCGTCTATTTATTAAATGTAAATTGTAGCCCAAAATGGAAATTTCTTGGATTCTGATTGGTCGAAAAGTGGCGTCGAATGAGTATAACAGTCCTCTAAATTTCCCGGCGACTCACTGCGAATAAATATTTTCTGGGTGCTAGACTCTGTTTGCATTGGCCAAAAATTCTACACCTCAAAACTTTAGGCCTATTCTAGGAAATCTTCGTGAATTTTTCTTGTATGTCATCAACAATGAAATTCAACCATTGGCTTATTGAAACACACACCTGAAATACACAAAAACAAAGTTAGTGGGTGTATTTGAAAGATAATAAGTAAATTTCATTTAAAGGCTGGTCTGACAATAATGGTTGCTATGGTCATTCTGTTATAATCAGACTGGTCAAAATCGAAGATTTCCAACAAGTGAATAAAAATACTACAACTTATTGAACTCCATATGGACCGTAAATAACTGACTGGGATATATTTTTAAAAATATACAAGTCGGGCTGATACTGATATGAATAGACAGAGACTAATTTTCATACACAGGCCTGACAGGCCAGGGTTATTTGCGAAGAAAATGACAACGTAAACAAGCATGGCAACCACATGCATACGCTACACAGCATATTATATCTACACGGTCACACGAGTGTATGGACATTTATCAAACATAATATGCAATTTATTTCGAACCTAGTCACTGCTGGAGTTCAAAATCATTTAAAAAGTACATAAAATACACTTACGATTTCTGTTTCGATCTTTAAAATGATCGCAGAGTGACCTCCCTTTCGAAACAGACACAATTAACCAGTCGCCTAGTGAATCAAACAGAACAGGAAGTGTTTTATGGATGGGACAAAAAATAATCCCAGATTGCCCATATCTCGGTTATTTATCAACGGATCTTCTTCGGGTTTTCATTTTGAGATTCTTTGGATGAATCCCATATGGGCTCTTTCTGACGGTTATCAGAAATTCAGAGGTTCGCTTGATTAATATTAGTATCAAAGATTTGCGAAAGTTTCTTTGTCATTTTTTCGAAATTCAAGATGGCATATCTCCGATTTTCTCCGAACATGATTAGTTCTCTCCTTTTTAAGAAAAAATAGATATAAAATGATATATGCTAGTGTTAGCCCCAGATATTATCATTCTTTTTCAAAGACCTTGTTCCATAACATTTTCAACCGCTTGGCCGCCATATTGGATTTTATAAAAAAAATATTCAAATCGTTATTCAGCCACAATTTTAATTTCGATTGTCGAAACTTTTTTTTGTATTGAACATATTCCAATTGACAACAATCCTTAGGGAGCCGATTTTTGAATTTCGATTTTGTTTACTTCCGGTTTCACTTTGAAGTTTGTTCGACTTTTCACCATCTAGTGTTGGATGGCCGAATGGTTAGCACGTGCGCGCTGTATCATAAGACCTGTCATTGAGTCAACTGGCGTGGTTTCGAATCCCCGGTTGTACGTGACAAGGAGTAGGGTCGCCTGTCCAGCCTCGTGGGTTTTCTCCGGGTCCTCCGGTTTTCCCCCACTGCTAAAGACCCCTACGCGCATGCGAATTAATGAAATAAAAATTAAACCATATGTTAGTCCCGAAATGACCTAGTTTGTGTCGAGTGGACGTTACACTCCATTTCTCTCTCTCCCTCCTAATCTTTCCATGACCCTTGATCTTTGTATGTATGATGACCCCGATGTCTACTAACAATTAATATTAAAAACTTCCGGTTTTATTAATTGTTCAAAATGACAGGTTTGTGCAGTTTATTAGGTATTGGATGTTACTATACTCAATAATTGATGCTGTAACTTTAATGTTGATGTGACAAGGCGTGACGTGACGTGACGTGACATATTTTACTTTAGGAATGCCTAAAAAAATGTTCGAAGCAGAATTTTGATTTAGGTCAACTGATGGTCACCATTTTGAATTGAATATGGAAAACGATAAAAAATAAAGTCTTCATTAACGGGCTTGTAAATAAACACAATAGGCCGTAGTTTGTACAATTCGTCTAGTATTTCTTAAATTAATACATTTCTGGATAGCCTGACACATGGTCGAAATTTTGGTATTTGAATATTTCAAAATTTCGAATTTCGCCTTTGACATTTTTTGTGCCGACAAAGCTGTTTACGAGTGAAAAATTCCCATCAACGGCTTGAAAAAAAATCGAAATCGGCCGCCGTTTCGTGAATTCGTCTCCTATTTCCCGAAATTAATACATTTCTGATTAGCCTCCTTCCAAGAATGGGTGGTGGCTTTGGAATCAATATATTTTCAAAACGTTTTACGAATCCGAAATCACCAAAATTTACTAATGAAAAAATTGATCTATATAGCTGTAACTGTGTGATTTTGTGATCTATTTTACTAATTCATTTTTGTTTGAGTACCTTAAAACATTTACTTTAAATCTGCTATTTCCGATTTTCGAAGTTCGAATACTACGTCATTGACCTCTCGTCCCGGAAGTAAAACGAACATGACAACTTCTTGAATATTAGTACGATTTTCATGAAATTAGGAATGTATAAGTAGATCTATTTGATCCAACTTCAACGATGTCATTAGAAATTTTCTAAGTTATCTCCCCTTGGAGAAAATAATGTACTAGCTAAGACATTACTGATACGTACACAAAATATGAAGTCTATCGATCGAACCGGAAATGCCACCATCTTGAAATGTGAAAAATCACTAAGGCTTTTTCGATATTTTACTTACAGACTTCACTGAGGAGTCACGGCCATTTCATCCCGGTTCAATTCTTGTTGAAGCCGAGCGATCTAAAATGTAAAATTTAGAAAGACATCCAGTTTACAAAGCCACCACCTTTAATTAAAACAATGTTTCACCTTTTAACCAAATCAAAACTGTGGCTTGGTCATTTTAGATTAAACCTCGAAAGTGTCGTAATCTGACGAATAAAAGTAACTTCTCTAAAATAAAACCAATGCAATATGTTTTATGTTACATTTAAACAGTTCGTGACAATTCATTTCGGTTTCATGCGAGCGCAATATTGTCCGTAGCATAGTTTTCATTTCGTTCGATATGTGGAAACACCTGACCTGGTCAGATAACTTTTATTCTAAATCTTTGAAACTTGATATATGCAAATATACGTTTTACGTTTGCATATAAAGAACACGCTGGTTGTGCCTTTTGAGTCTTTAATAAATCAGAAGTAATGTTTGTATATAAAACCATAAATAAATTCCCTGTAAGCAAGAAATGTGCATTTTATGTTTATATAACGATTAATATATATATATATATATATATATATATATATATATTTGGATGATTGTTTTGTGGTCCTTAAAGTATCTTCAGAAATCATCTATGAACTCCATAAAATGTTAAACAATTTAGATGGCAGTATTCAGTTCACAATTGAACAGAGTAGAACAACACTAAATTTTCTCGGTGTGAAATTAATACTTCACCCTAACGGCTCTATTGAAACTGATATTTTTTACAAGCCAACAGATACACATCAATATCTGAATTTCAGTTCTTGTCACCCGTCTCATACAAAAAGAAATATCCCATATAACCTAGCTAGACCCTTGCATGTATTGTTCATAATGTAACCAAGACGTCATGACGTCATAATATGTATTATTTATTTAGGAGATAAACACCTCCTGTTTCGCATTTAGAGGGGTGTTATTGTCCAATAGACATGTCCTGAGATCATTAGGACCCAAGACGCGTTAGCGTCGCGGGTTGTAATGTAAAATCTCAGGACATGTCTATTGGACAATAACACCCCTCTAAATGCGAAACAGGAGGTGTTTATCGACATTGTAACATGCTATTTTTTAGAATTTTTAAAGAACTTATTTTATTGTGTAAACTTCAAAATTCGTCTTACGGCAAATCGCTTTTAGTGACGTAAAAAACAAAGAAATCAATTTTGACGTAATGAAAACGTCGTGACGTAGCGGGGTAACTGGCTGCTCATGTTAGATTTGACTCGCTTATCGTCTGGTTGCTATAGTAGCCGTATGAGTATAGACACACAAAAAAAAACCCCTAAAATTCTCACTTCATTTTTTTAAAAGTAGTTTTTGAAACAAAATTTATGTTTCTGTAATAGATTTTTGAATATTTTGTTGTTTGTAGCTGTTACCTGACAAGGGGTTGGCGTTTTAAGTGCATCTTCGGACATATCTCCAAATATTTCATCTAATGTACCGAGATCAAAATTGATTGTCTCCATTGTGGTTATCGCCATTAAAGTAGTACGCATAATATTAATACGCAGTGATTTTTCTAATTTAGAGGGGTGTTATTGTCCAATAGACAGTGTCTAATCGACCAATCAAAACGCAAGATTCACCCTTAAGCATGTTACAATAAATAGTTTGCGCCTGAAGAGCAACGTAAGTTGTGAAAGCGCTAGCGGAAAATATGTAGTTTTCTTTTGCCATTTTTTTTATTTTCTCCCTCTCTCTCTCTCTCTCTCTCTCTATATATATATATATATATATATATTTTTATATTTTATACTATGATATATGATACTGTACATTAGAACAACAACTCACTACAGCTATATATATATATATATATATATATATATATATATATATATAT